GCCTCATTCCAACCGGGTCAAACTCAAGGCCACAAAAGACGACTCCACCGACTACAAACATTTGAGGAATCATTTCTGTAAGAAACAACACGGTCATTGATAGAAAAAAACAAAGACATGTTTAAGATTCAAGCAGGCAACACTGAACATCTGAAAAGCAAAGGATAAATATGATAAACAAAAAACAAACCATGTTTGAAACAAGAACATACAAAACACAAAAACCTGTTCGTGTGATGGGTCTGGGCGGCCCGAGGACTGAAACCTCACACTGTTGATCTTTCCACTTGTGGGCTTGAAGCCCTCATCGGGGTTCTCGGCGGTGATCCGGCTGGCGCAGCAGTGGGAGGTGATGGGTGGATAGTCCACGGCGAAGAAATCAATCGGAGAGTTTTGGGTCGGGTCCATGCCATAAAACCTCGGATGAGAGGCAGGATATGTCCAAAACACATGATCACATGGTCAAGACTTGTTTTGTCAACACATGCTCGACATATTAGAGTCTAGTGTATAGTATGGCTCTTGGGTATGGGATACAGAAACGATTGAAACCATCTAAACAGTGTGCCAAACCTCCGAATGTCCGGGATGTTGTACAGGGGCAAGCCCATGGCGATCTGAAGCTGTGTGGCAGGCATGTTCACGCCAGTGATGGACTCGGTGACTGGATGTTCCACTTGAAGACGGGGGTTCAACTCCAAGAAGCAAAAGGCATGCGTCTCCGGACCTTGCTGTGACTCTGCAACTCTCTGCAACTTCAGGTGGTTCAGTGTCGAATGGGTTGATGTGGATGTGTGTAATTATTCATTTGGACGTGCGTGATTAAATAGTGTGATCAGCAAGGGTTGATGAACGTTCGCCAAAATAATGCCATCTGCTTTGGAGGAACTAAAGCAATTCACATCATGGCCTCACCGCAAGAACTCTGGATAGTCCAAATGACCGAAAGAGCTGTAGTATGTGATTGAGTGCTGCCAACTGCCTTGATAAGAATGTATGCATAAGGATCCAATCTCGAGGCCGGGGTCTTGCTCGTGATTCTCTAGATATACAATCGAGAGACAGGCTGGCTATTATATGAACAAGCAAACACACAAGCAACAACAAGAAACTGACTAATATCATTTAAAATTAAAACATACATAAAAATAAGTATTATAATATATAGAAAATAAGTGTCTTTTTAAATATGTGACCCAAAGTTGAGCCATCACAAAACAAACACAATGAAAACATATGAACACATCCACCCACGTTTCATGCTTCAAAAGCGTTTAGGAACTTTAAAACTCATCGTCTTGACGCACCTTTGAAAATAACAACAAGCTTTCTCCATTTCTCCAAACCCTGAATTCTCTATAGAGTGGGAGGTGCAACTGCCAATTATTGCATACATAGAATACATATGTGTGTGTATATCAAAGGACTCCGATACCCCTTCCGAGGGAGAGTCAAGCTCACCGGGGCCGAAAGTCAATCCACATCCCACAGTGGCAGAAAAAGAATTAAGGACATTGATAAGGTCAGTTTGTTTAGTTTGACATTGATCAATGACTTGAAGATCCACACTCTGATAAGGGTTTGGTGCAAGCGCATTGCGAGTCCAAAGGACTGTAGAGATATTCCACCGTCCCAGCTCCCCTGTAGCCCACCAAGGCCGTCAAACGCATGGCCGCGCGCTCCATCTCATGAAAGACCTCTTTCTTGGCAATGGTCGGTGGGCCTCGAATCGTAGCGTTGAGGCTGAAGCAAAACGAACTGAAAGGCTGAAGCAGGCTGAAGCATTTGATGCGGTCCATCCAACAATTACAACGTCAATTTGATGGATGGCTCAGTGTGATGAATGAAGCTCATACTGGCATCCTTATACAGTATATCCTTAGTGTATCAAACAAAGGCCGGCGGCCTGAACGTACCAACACTCCAGGTTTATCTGTCACAGGGAGCCAAAAACAGCTACACTCCCCGATAAAATCATGGAAGTGGAAACTGTTTGTGGAGGAAAATGGTCTCCACGGGGCTATGTCATATGTTTCACATGTTTCACTTCCATGATTATTTCAGGGAGCGTACACAGAGAAAACCACCATCAACAAGTAGTGCAGGCCGAACCTTCTTCGAAGATCTTCTGGAACCTCCTCTGAGTTGAGCAGTCGCGGCCGTTCAACGCCAGGGTGTTCCCATACTCGTCTCCCAGGATTTGAATCTCCAAGTGTCTCGCCTTGAGGTGGCTTGGTGGGTAGGCTGGTAGGCCCATATTGACAATACGGAGGTGGAATGTGAGGAGGGGAAGACCAAGAGAAGTTCAATCATCCTTGGAGCGCTCGACACTCCTCCGGTCCGACTTCACGGCCCACCACAACTGTTTGGTGCTTTAGACAACGCCAAACTTGGTACACGCCCTCGGCCCACTAACCACCACGCATCCAACTACCAACAAGCCAAAAAAACTCAGAGAAAATGATACATTAAACTAGAGGACTTCTATTATTTGGGGTTGCAGTGCCTTGGAGACCATCCGCATGAGGAAGATGGGCGACCCAGGTACCTCCGTGAAAACGTTGGTGTAGGCCACTTTGAGCTCCTTGTGGCTAAACCAGGCAATTCGGGGTAAATGTTTTTCGGCTGCAACTCAAGTGGCTTTGGGCTTGAAGGTGGCAACAAGAATGAGGTCTTGAGCACTTAGCAAATTGGAGCTGGAACCTGGTGTCTTCTAGCAGCTGGAACCATCTTCCACCTCTCGAGATCAACATCGGCTTGGAGCCACTCTTCTCAGTCCTCCATGTTGGTGGCCTTCCGGATGCCTTTCCCTCCGCCTCCCTCAGAAGCTTTCACCATAATGGGAAAGCCGATCTTCGTTGCACGCTCACAGGCCTCCTCAGCGCTGGTCACCATAGCCTTGTTGAAGATTTCCTGGTGGCATCCAAAAGCTGAAACTGCCATGCCATGCTTTACTTACCCTATAGTAGATCCTATAGTTGGCTCATCTCGTCCATTACTGATTACATATGATGATATAATGTCTGTAAACGAAAACCATCTGCCCCAAACGGCCCCAAACACCCTGCCTCAGGGATCGTGCCTTCTTCGGTGAGTTGACACGTGAGCCCATCTCCACTCCACGGGATGCTGGGCACAGAAGCCGTTTGTGCCAAGATGTTGGCAGCGATCTTGTCGCCCAGGGCGGCCATGACACCTCCGGAGCACGAGGGTTGGGAAGGTCACGGTCCAATCCCAGGAAATGCAAGGGACAAGTGAAAAGTGTGAAATGTATGTATCATCGAAGGTTTCTTTTTTTTAATGGTGAGCCTTTCTCTTATTAGGTTAACGCCAAGGGCGGCTGTCCTTTTCGGCGGTCTTTGGCCATCCGAACGTCGCATGACGGAGACGATGGTTGCTTTTGTCTGAAGGAGGGCCAATGAAGGTGATCCCAATCTCCTTCAACTTCGCCGGCAGTTTGGGGTTCTCACTGGCATGCCCCCAACCAGGCCAAACAGCGTCCACCTGCATCAAATATGGTCGCGTGTCGAGACGGCAAACCCTTCCCTCCTCCCCTCCATGCATTCCATGCATTCCAGTTACATTAGTTCTCAAATAGTCAAGTGGGATGGGAATTATACATCTATATGGAATATTATGGAATCATCAAATACTATAACAAATTGTTTTGTTTCCAGGCTCTGTGGTGGTTGGAACGTATAAAGGTAGGGTGTTTCATGTTGTTTCTCAGAAGGCTTGTTTGTGGTATTTTCGTGTTCCTGTTCTCCCCTGTTTCATTGCTTAGCAGTTGATTCTCTATGAGATCGCTGTTGGCCTGTTGCCTCAATCCCTAGAGTCTGACCTGAAAACTTCTTCCAATAACCCCTATTTTGAACATGCAAAACATTGTCCAAGACAATGTTTCCAAGAGAGTAGTCCACAAACACCCTGGAATTGAACTATACAACTTGTTAAGGGGCCGGAGAAATTGTTCAGAAGAATCCGTTCGCAAAAACATCACCACTGAGGTTTCCAGTACTATAAATATGTCTGTGTCCATTGGGTTTGCCATTGCTTCCTGTTCTTTCTTATTGTTAGTCCATCCTTGGCACTGGGACTCTAATCTTATCCCTTTAAACTAAACTAAGTGCAAAAAACAACAAGCAATAAACACCAAAAACAATGAGCTATATAGACTCCATGGACTTGTTTTGGGCGCCCTCACTAAGGCTCTTCCTCAGTTGTTAGGGGGTGGAAGTTGACAGCCTTCAGCGCAAGCAATTGCCACATGGCACATGGAGCTGAATCACACAAAATGACCGGGACGGGCAGCTATAGGTCATCTTCCTTGCTTCACCCAACCCCATCAAAGTCAGCGCCTGCTGTTCTTGCGCAATGCGGCAAATGAGGTCAACATTGGCATAGTTGTTGACATTCTTGCCAGAAGGAACCTCAACGAAGGAATCGGCAAGGCGAATGAACTCTGCGTTTGCGTTCAGGTCATCCTGGGTTGCCATCGCAACAAATGTAATGAGCTGCTCTGAGCCAAACTCGGTGAAGGTCCATCTTCTCATAGATAGAATCGCCTTCACTGCTGCCATGCCATTGTTGGAGATGAGGATTTTGCGAATCACGCGCTGCCCCCCTCGCTGCTTCACATAGCTCGCCAATGGATCGAGATTCATGGCCATGATGCCGCGAATCCGCGCAAAAAAGCAACTTGTTGGATCAAGTGATCAAATGAAGATGGTGCTTGGGCCAAAAGGAAGGAGGGGGTGCACTTTCTTGGTCCCAGCATGTCCCAGCTCTGTATGTCGACATGTCAACTCAGCTCGCCGTAACGGGATCCTGCCATTCTCAACGTGCCACCCAAACTTGCCCTTCGATCTACATTTCTGCCCTTGCTCCCTAGGCTTCAACGTTCAGTTGGAGTGGGTGTGCAAAGTTGTGTTCCTGCCTGAGGTTTGCTGGTGGGTTGCACGCGGGAAATGGTCTTCACGTGTTTCACCCGGCCAAGCTGCCGTCTCAGCAAAGGAAGTCTTCAGGTGGTGACCGCCAGAAACTGCAGGCAAACGTATATAACATGTTGCGGCATGCTGATGTGAAACAAACACTGCAAACAAGCGTGGGCAAACTACAACATGAACACCTTTCTTGGACCGGCCCGGGAGGTATGTCTAAATGCTGGAACTGTATGGCTGGCATAAAGCTCACCTTTCTGTGACAAGGCACTACGTGGAAGATTGTCCTCCATCATCTGTGGCTTCCATAGACAACCTCCAAACAATCCGAAGATACAGGCTCATGTTGGGCGCAGGAAAGCCGGGAGAAACTGCCACCCAACCTATCAGGAAAACCGGATGCATGGTAGCATTGAAGCGCTCACGTCATGTGTGCTTTCGGTCCTGCCTGGCATTGCGATGCTTCTCGTTGCGTAGTAGCACGACAGCTCCCCCCAGAAATCACTTTCTTTCATTTGCAACCGAGATTTCTTTACCATTTGGTTCAGTGTGTGAAGGGGAAGGAACTCATCCTTTCCGCATGTTTTGTGCATTGTGAGTTGCGGTATGCTCTCCTGATTCTCAAGCATTTGGAGGAATAGAAGAAACATGCCCACTTTTGCAAGAAAATAGGTGACGGTATCTGCAGCTTGCTACACACACTTATCTAGGCTGATTTGTTGCAAGCGCTTGAGCCAGCAGCTAGAGCCAGCCCCGAGCCCACAAAGCTGACTATCCTTCATGTCCTTCCTTCTCGTGTCATTTTGAAACATGTGCGCCAGGTGATCTAGTGTAGCTTCGGGCAAACCAGGCCTTGTCGCCCATCTTTTCCATGCACTCTGAGGGCCAGCCACAAAAAAGTCCTATTGCTTGCTCAAGGACTCAAGGCATTACACCTTGCCGGGATGATCTCAACTTAGCATCCCGAAGCCAAGCAGCGAGTGCTGTCTCAAATGCTCATCACCCAAAGGACACTGTCACATCCCAAAGACTCGAGACCAACTTCTCTGTCTCTCACAATGCCAAGCATGCGGATCACGCTTTCAAAACCACCGGTGGCATTCTGCTCGAGACTCTTCTGCTTCTTGGAAAACACCACCATGGATGAAGAGCTGCCATTGCCCATTGTCAGCAAGCCCTGCTGCGATCCCGGCATGACCACTTGGAATCCCCGTGAGCCTACCAACGTGTCTGGGCCCACGGATGCACTAGAAAAACTAGTTTTAGAAACGCATGTTTAACTGAATTATTGCAAGGAGATTGACAGGAATGCCGCAACAGCCGTTGGCCCCCTTGCCTTGCAAAGCTCAGCGTTTTCCGGAACGGAATTCCAGTTCTTATCGTGGCATTCAATCTGATCTAAGCCAAGCGCTTCTCAAAGACCTCTCAGGCCAAATATCTCGAAGCACTCTAGAATTGCCCCCAAAGTTTAGCTATATATAATGTCATGTGTGGCCTCATCATATTTCACCGGTACTGTCAAGAGCTTCGATTCAACTTGCTCATCGTCCGCGTCCGGGCCGCGGAATGTCACCGGGCCGATGTACGCGATGTAGGCCTTCTGGGCGGCCTTCCAAGCTGGTGCCATTGCCTGGAGCCATCTTCGTCCGGAAACCCTATGAGATTCAGCCCCACACAATGTCAAGAGGAAACTCCATGGACTTGTCATCTTCTTACAGATGTCTTCTGGAATCTCGACTTCAGCCATTCTGGGTATCAAGGTTACTAGTACTCAGCCATCAAACCTTGTCCTGGACAATTTTGAGCACCGAATATATCTCACTCTCACAGCGCCTGGCAAAGGCCACATGCTGCATCTTCTTGTTGAAATGGTCAACCCTCCTGAATGCAAACATACAATGATAGTCGAATGTTGAATACGCATACTTTGACAGAATGCAACAGTAGAAGTACTAGGGTGAAATATGGTGAAATCTCACCGAGCGGTAAATGCAGATTTGGTAAGGTTGCTGCCTAGCTCTTAATGCATGCAAAAGCTTCAATATCTTTGAACTAGTAGGTTGATGTTCTCCTTCCACCTCACACACCTAACTTCAGGTGAAACAACCATGTTCCGGCGCGTCTTCTCCACTAATTAGTGTGCATTTTCCAAGGATTTCTAAGGCCTAGCACTGGCTTCCAATCTTTATCATTGCATTATATAATTCTGAAGGTCATCTGAGGCCAGGCCCTCTGACTCTGTGCACCCTCTGTGCTTATCGATGTCTACCGGAAGGGAAACTCATCTCCGAACAAGGCTCAAGCTCCCTAGAAACACTGCACTGTCGAAGACAAGTGATCTGAAAGTCTCTTCAGCTGTCCGTAACAAACTGTGGGATGTGGGGTCTCGAAAAGTGTGTTTCGGTTGAAGCTTGGTCTTAATATTATATAACCGAGTTATAGAGTTATACCGAGTTGCAGGTGCTCTGATTAATTAAGTTCGGCCTTCTTTCCAGGGGCTGTGGCTTTAGCACTACCTCCTTTCCAAGAAATGGGTGTGTGGTTCCGTCTGGACCAACCGTTTACGCGTGTGTACGCGTCCTCGGCCATCGTCGGCAAAAGCAGCCGAAGCGTATTCTCGCAGCTCAAGGCCCTCAGGAGTGGGTGCAAAACCGGATACCACTCCCATGTTTGGAGGTTATGCCCCCACCCAGTTGCTGGCCAACAGTCAATTTGGACTATATAATGGGTGGGACGCTCACACATAAACCAACTTCGGGCACTTGCACGGCAGTATACAGCTTCCGTTTTGTCCTCAAGGGTCAATGCAAAAGAGGTCTCTGGCAAAGCCTGCCGCAAACATCGAGGAAAAAACTGTATATCGTCTGCTGGCTAGGCTTCCAGTTGCTGGCTAGTCACTGCTAGGCGCAGCTAGGCAATGCACTTCTCGCAGCCAGAAAACTGTGAATTAACTGCTATGCTGCTATACATTGAGGTCATGCAAAGCTGATAAAGCTGGCTCGTCCGATTCGAACGCAGCATGTTACCAGCCTAAGTCAGAAGACCAAATTCACACATGGCTGGGCATGGTTCTGCCCAAAGTTGTGCTAAAGATTCCAGTTTGGAAAAAATGCAGGCTGATCAATAACTCAAACAACGAGTGCCCACGTTCCATCTGTCTTTGCCTGCTTCTATATAGATTCTAGAATTTGCTTCGATCAACCTTCAACAAGTGATTTAGGCACCTACTAGCCTGGTGAATGGTTGACTAGACTGACTCGGCTCATCTGGAGAGCGTCTTCAACATTTCAGCGCGTTCGCTCTCCGGGAGCTGAGCAAAAAGCTCCTGGGACGATTGCGGAGCGTGATCCTCGGAGCTCAATGTTTGAGGCTTAAGCTCCTTGTGGCTGATTTGGTCCTCGTTAGAGGGCATGACACAACCCCAAAAAAACATCTGAATGATCATTCAAGATCTAGACAGTGGGACGAAAGCTGCACCCAGTCCTGCAGGTGGGACTTGACGTAGCTGGTCCTGGAAAGGCCCCAAATGATGTAGCCATCGCTGGGGAAAGGTCCATTGGTCAACCGATGATGGTGTGGCATGGTAATAGACTAGCATTTGGTAGAAAGTATATAAAGATCGTTTCATTGCTGCATGCTGAGTGGAACGGGAACAAACGGAATGCAAAGCAAGCGATGCTGGTGACTCCTCAGCTTCACCCCAGTCCTGACGGACTCTGCACGCGTCTCCACACTTTGAGTCTCTAGCCAGCCGACCATCTTCGCATCACCTCACTTGAGCAATTCAACATTCAATCAACTTGTCCGCACAGCCCGCAAAAATATATAAAAAACATTAATCAAAGGTGGCAAACACGTAGTTTGCGACAACTTCTGCAATCAACAGTAACGAGTTTGTGAAGTGAAGCACTGTGCATCCAAAGTCGGTCACAAAGCTTTTCACGCACAGGGTTCAATAGTACCCGGAATCAGGTTGGCTTCATGAGTGAAACAATCTCAGGAAGTGAGCTCAAGCACTTCGCTCAAATTTCAATTGTATGCCTCCAACGACGGCAAGCTCCTGCTACTTCAAGTCTGTGATGGCATTTCCGCCAGTCGGTGGAGGCCGCGGAGGCCTAATTAATCAAACGAGGCAGCGCGGCGCTCCAACTCCTAAAGCAGCGCTCGACGCAACCAGGCGCTCCAGCTGCCTCCAGCAGCGCCGCGACTCCGTGTACCCGCTCGATGCCACATATTATGCTGCTGGCCGGCCAGATTTGGCCAGATCCTGGCGTTTCAATCACCAAAGCCAAACAAAGGACACATGATGATTAAAATATGGCGACAACCAAAAGTAAAGTGTGCCATTCTCGATGATGACAAGTTTCTAACGCTCTGTGACGCACTTCACACTTCATAGTCCACAAAACCCATTCCTTCATATTCCTTCAACTAACTCCTCTGCGTCACCTTTTGCACGGCCAGTGCCATGAACTTGGCCGTGGAGTTGAAACTCACTGCTCTCACGCATCACCAACTGCTGCAGCGCACGGCGTGGCACAGCTAACTTCAACAGACTTGTAGTTCCAATGGAGCCAAGTCGAACACTTGCGCACAAAAAGGACAGCAAAGGTTGTTTCTATCATTTGGGCCATCAGCCATTGAGACGCTCAACCCGTCCACGTTCCCGCACTCGTTGAGTGCAATGATTGGCAACTTGTCCGTGGATGAAGGCCTCTGGCGTCAACATCTGAGTGAGAACTCCAAAAGGAGCCTATATAATCACACAGGCAACGCCTGGCCCAGGCACCACATGGGCTGCAGTGGGAGATACCTGAAGTGGGCAAACCTTAATCTCGAGCCAGCTCTGCTTTACATGTGCCTTGAGCCACAAAGCTCAAGCAACCAACATGCAATGTCAAAGGTTTGCGATCAGTCTTCATCAGCCTTTGCATACGGTTTGGCTGAACATAGGACACATATTCGCACATATTACAGCAACCACGGCAAGGGGCTGTTGGGATCCACATTGCTCTCAATGGCCCACTTCTCAATCAAGGCTTCACCTTCAGAGCAACCCATTCACAAAAATGATATTCTATAATTATATATAACAGGCATATCATTGACCAATGCATTCCTTCTTTCATTTGCCTGCCTTCTTTGTGGCTCAAGTTCTTGTCGGCCTTCTGTAGCTGGCGGATGAAGTGGTCCTGCAAAACGCGCCTCTTCACTCGCCAGAAGAAGAAGCGGCGCGAGTCCTCGCATGTTCACAGCCCATCCCTCACGCCAGTTTGTCACAAGAAGCCGTAACGTCAAAATGGGGCAGTTGGTCTAATTTTATCTAATTTTGACTGCCACTGCTCCTGTTCTATAGTTTGTATTCCAACCTACACTACGCGTGTGGGATGTATTATTGTTTGATCATCAAACAGTCTCAAGCAAAGTCCATCTGATGCATCTGCGTCCTTCCAGGAGATCCCTTCCTTGATGACACCTTTGGCTTTCATTCGCCCGGCACGGTCATGCAAGTCCGCGAATGTCGTGGCTACCGAGGTGTACAAGGGCAGCAGCTGCTTCTCCCTCGCCTGGTGATGTGTGAGTGGCGGCCCACTCGCTTTTGAGGATCAGGCGGGAGTCCAGGTGACGGCTCAAGTGACTGATGTCCAGGTTGTATCATTCGTTAGTCCCGAGACTAGGTTGTCGTAATTTGGATTCTCACTTGTGCTTGACAGGACTTCCTATGTTTTTTGGGCAAACCCGCCTTATCCTGTAGATTCTCAATTCATCGAACACAGTCTCGACTTGCCCTGTTTCGACGTGTCTGCGACTAGGGGGCAAGCTAGGCTACGACCTTCTAGGCGGTGAATGCAATCGCGTGCTTTCTGGATCGATCCTAGAAAGTCGGGTCAACTGTGGTCAACCCGGTTGAAGAGAATCCTTTCAAGGCCTTGATCTCCTTCTCAAGACTCGGCTTTGCTTCGTCACTCAAAGATTCCAAGTCTGCATCCATCTTCTGCAGCTTCGGATCGAGGCGATGCATGGCCTCCACCTGACTGGCACGTCTTCGGACATGAACGAGCAGTTTAGTTTGGGCGTCCGCACCTGCTGATGTGTACGGAACTTGACCTCCACAATGCCCGGAGGCTCCAAGATGCCCCCACGCGAGTCCAAATCTGCGTACATCTCCATCTTCTCTGGGTTAATGGCAGGGTCAATCACCACCCAAGCGCCACCCCGCAGCTCGCCATGCTTGGGGATGTAGATAAAGATGGGGTGCTGGTACTCCACCAATGCATCAACAATCATGGCACCAAACTTCAAGATCTCGTTATACATATCACCTGAGAACATCTGGGACAAGAGTAAGTGGAGTCAACAAAACAAGACCGTCTGATCACTCCACCCAACTCTACTCCCGCTCACCCCACCACTTCAGGCCCAGGCCAGGTCCAACGCTAGAACGAACATCGAAGCAAAAAATAACTAAGAGGGTAGAATCGGTGACTGGCCCGTAAGACCAAACAATAGTATTATATATATCGTAATATTTATTTATGACAATAACATAGAATAACATAACATAACCCTCAACTTCAACCTGGCCGACTGTGACTTGATTTGTCCCAAGACACGGGTGCCACCACTGAAGCCTCGCCAGTTGGCAAAGATCATCACCGGCAGATTCTCCCCATGGTTGAAATCCTTAAGCGCCTGGGCCGTCTTGAAGGCGCTGTCTGGAAACCAGACCTTTCCACCCATCGTCTCCTTTGGACGGGAGGCATGCGAAACTCGGTTACAAACAAGTGGCATCAAACACAGAAGGATGCATCACGCTCATTCAGTTTATTTAGAATTTCACCTTTTGTCGTTCTAGTGGCAGGCTCGAACGCAGAAGATATCGTACGACTTCCAGTCTTTATCAGTCTTTGAGTCTTTGGTCTCATCCCCGTCTCCTTCATTTCACGGCTTTCAGGGTTGGAGGGATCGGCAGGGACCAAGCGTTCCACGGCTCTCGTCTCGACTGCAATGACGCCCATGGGAATTCCCCCGAGGCGTGCACGGCCCACGACGACGGTCTGACCCCAGCCCTCCAAGTATTCGGTGAAGGAGCCTGCATCGAAGAAGCCCCGGAGACGTCGGCCTTCATAGTCAATGACACCCCTCAAGAAGTCGCGAGGGTCGTAGGGAAGAGGTGAAGGCTCAAACTCCACATCACGGTCCCATGGATCAGAGCTTGAGGAAATAGGAGGTGGACAAGAGACATCCTTAGGCACAAAGCTCAACCAATCCAGAATAGCCGACATACCTTCTTGATCATCCCTCACCACTTGGTGTGTCACGCCGTTGGGCACCATGATTTGAGGACCTCCCAACTGGTCCTGGGAGGAGTACACATTCTTCCCAAGGAGTTTGTTCAAGGCGGAGTAGCCGGTGAGGATCATGGGGCTGCTTACCATCTGAATATTCCGCTGACCCAAGCGATTCAGGTAAGCACCGATGCCCACTGAACGCCCGGTGATGTAGGAGAGGGTAAAGGTTTCCTGCAGTGGCATTTGCTTCACGCATCACCACTACCCGAACAGGCTGAACACCAGCACAATTTATAAACTATGATTCTATAAGTTTCGGATGGTGACTTGCTATTAAACTTGCTGGGCTACGGCCCGGTCCTGGTAGGCTTTGCTGGTTTCACCAGCAATGAGGCCACTGCCCTGCAAATTCTCCACACCAATTCCACCCTCAGTGCTCTTCATACCTTCACCAATGATGGCATCCAAAACATACCGTTCTTCTCCTGCCTCCTCGACCTTATGAGCCTCCACACTGCCTGCAGGCAGCTTCTCATAGTCATGCTTCAGCAAATAGAGATATTCGAAACCCTTGTTGCAATCAGAAGGGTCAAGCCATTTCACATTGAAGAGAGGCTTCAACTCTTCGACCAAGCCAACCCTGGCCCCACTATTGCAGGACACGTAGATGCGAGGCAGGCCGCGGTCTCGAGCGAACTCGGAGGCCTTTTGAAAGAATCGATCCTCCCTCACGCCAAAGGAGCCCGCTTGGAAGGTCACGTCGTTCGAAATCAAAATGACATCTCGACCCTCCGGGTATTCAGGGGTCTGCATCGTCAGCCTCCAAGCCAACATGCCAACGTCGTTGCTTCCCTCCAAACGCTCAGTTTCAATCAGTTCCATCTTGGACCAATCCTGAGACTCAAAGTACAGCAAAATCCCAAACAAAAACAGCAACATATATTGTGGTGCAACACATGACCTATACATACTTTACCATACTTATATTATGCATGCTATCGAGACTCCATCACCAATTCCTTCGCTTTCAGGACATCTTTGGGCATGTTCTCCACCTTTGATGGCACTGTACGGCCTCGTGGTGAGGGGCTTCGGCGGCGGGTTCCAGTCGCTTGAGATCCCTTTGCTCTGGACTCCTCAGGAGCTGAGATCCATTTCATCCTCAAGGCTAGTTGAAGCATTCCCGGCAGGTCATAGGCATAGCTTGATCCAGCACGACGCGCTGCCACCCGCTTGGCCTGGTAGCTCTGGGAGCTCGACTGATCCACGACTCCATCGGAGTGATCTTCCCAGCGCAAGGGGAAGCCGGTCACGGGGTCTGGGATCTCGCGCAGCAGCTTCGGCTTGAAGAACCCCCCATGCAACGAGGAGAAGGAAAAGCGCAAGATCTCCAGGCAGCTGTTGTCTCGGACATGCACTTTCCTGACATGCCCCGGCGGCCGTATAAGGAACGGACCCAGACTATAACAATGTTGCATCTTGGTTGGTAATCCGCAGCATGTCAAGTCCAAGATTGTCCAAAACATCTATGTATCCGTGACAACTTGGTGGCAACCTGTGATAAGGGCAATTGTTGAACCGTCAAACCATTCTTGACAAAATCCAAGATTCACTTCAATCTGGTCCACATAAAGCTTGATGATGTCAGAGCCACGATGTCCCACATGGCTGCTGATGGTGTCCATAAAGAGCTGTTGAATCTGGGCTTTGGGCATGTCCAGCTCAGCCACCAGGTGCAAGAAGATCCGACTGGTGATGGTAGGTCCAAACTTGGAGACCTGCCACGGGCAAAACGGTGGGATCAGTCTCCAGCTGACAAACCTGACAGACCTGACAGATCTGTCCGTTCACTTTGGGGGTTGGTTGACAATTGACATTCCCAGGGACTCCTCTAAAGAAACTTCTTGAAACAGGGTCGTGACCCTCATGCCACATCATGCCCCACACTTGGAGACCTGAGGGTCCAGCAGCGCATGCTCAATCTCATCCAAGGCCATGTCCAAGCTATCAGAGAGATTTGAGCTCAATGACTCTGGGTTGATCTTGGACAGGTACAATGCACGCATCAGCAATTCAGGTGCCGGAGCCTTTCCACCTAAACTGGGCTGTGTGGCCAAATAGATGTGGGAAGTTGGGCGCACCTCCTTGTGAATGCGCTGGAGTTGGTAAATCCTCTTCAAAGACCCAAGCTCCAACATGCCTTGGAAGGAAGGCCACATGTCTCGACCAATCTCCTGCTCGGACCATTCTTCCATCTCGTCCAACATGAATCTGGCGAATCGTGGATGGCGAGGTGGCTGTGGCAGCACCAAGCAAATCTCGCCAACACCCGCAAGTTTCCTTGGTGCCACCAAGTGACTTTCATGGGGGAGCTACCCTGGGGAGAAATGTGCAGGACCCTTACATACCCAGTGTTCCAACGCTAGCCCAACATTAACCACCACAAGAAAACGATCGCAGGGCGGGAGCCTTTGGGCACAACAAAGTGCAAAAAAGTTTCAGAAGCTGTGCTTTCTTCGCGAAGACTTCCTGGCTCTGCTGCAGTACCTTCTTCAGCTCAGCATCAGTGTTGTAGAACAGGGTGCGGTCTGTCACTGCAGGGAAGGCATCGCGTCCGACCACCACGTGCAGAAAGTTCAATGGCACAGCGCCACCACCCAAGGCCTCCAATTCCGGCAGCCTTTGATCCAAAGCGCCTTCCATGTGCTCCAGATCAGGTAGAACCAGCATCAGCCCATGCCTATTATGCACCTCTGTATCCACTGGGAAGAACTGAGTCCACAAAGCTGACTTCTCCTGGACCTCCAACTTTGCGAGCCGCCCAGGTTTAGCCAGCCAGTAGAGGTATGAGTGCATCGCACGCTTCTGCACCTGGATCTCAAAACATTTTAACACGGCTCACCGCACTTCACCCTGTGGTATCCCCATAGCGCCCTTGCGTTTCTCCACATGTTCATTTCAGTTTTCTGTCCATGCGCCCAACACCCTCAGCCGACACGTGGAAAAAGTAGAACCAACATTAAGAACATAGCCCCCACGTGCCCACACAACCATTCCACTCCACCGCTAGCTGTTGGAGCCGCACCCCTAAAAATACGAAAGTTATCATGCCTTGAGATCCTCATCATGGAGAGCTTCCACCAGAAGCTCCACCTCCAAGTTGCCCTCCGAAGCTCCTGGGAGCTCCGAACCAGCCAGCTGGAAGGCCTGCAGGCGGAAGCGGCAAAAGCAGCAGTCCCACTGACTTTGACTCTGATTAGTAAGGCGATCACTTATATAAACTTGTCCATTTGGCCCATGTAGCATGATGTAGCCACTGGGGCGAAGTACATACATGTACATACTAAACTTACTATAATAAAGAAACACAAACTCAGGATGCTCCGTTTCTCGCTCAACTTAGGCAGCTTTCTTGGAAATCACAATCCAGTCTCAGGTTTGGTTCAGTGCAAGTGGCACAAAGAAACACCTTCAAGCTGAACAGCCACCGCCCACGTTGGGAGTTGAAGAAAGGCGGTAATTTAGCATTAGTTAGCCATGCAGAAAGACAAGGAACATGAGGCAAGTATATCACCAATTCGGGATGTTGAGAAATGTTGGGACTGTGCATGTCAGAATCAGAAACATGTTGGATGATGTTGGATGCTTTTCAGCCATGACATTCGCATCAGCTGGAAAGGTGCCAAGAATGCATGCTAGGATTGTTCCGTCAACCTTCAGCATCGCTTCAACTGGATGCGCCAGGCGCCTTCTCATCCAACTGTACCAGCTGCTCCCTCAAGCCTCTGAGACGCTGTGCATGGGATTCTGTGGGCAACACATCCAGCAGCCTCGGCCAGTGACAGATCTGATTGTGGGAGCAATCAATACCCTTCCTTCCCACAAACAGCCCAAAACGCAGGACATCAATATCAATAATCTAGATAAACGGTCGCAATCAAGATGCATCGATCTATCAACATGTCAAAAAACAACATGTATCTGCCTGAAGACTTCTCTCCTACTGTACGAAACAAAAGGCCATGGGACTGCTGTGCCAAATATCGCACGTTGCCGTAATCACCGGCCACTCCGGCAGTGCTCGGCAGCTGCGAAATCTCCAGGATCTTCTGGTGCACAGCACTGTCCATGTCATCTTCCCGCATCTCTGGCACATACCTCCGATGTTCATTACAGCCGCAACCAAGCACAAACACACCTAACCAAGTAAAGACTGTGCCTATATGCAATCCTATGCATGACAAGTCTGTCCTTAGCCTCTGGGGATCAATCACCTCAACCACGCCAAGCGGCATGCAAGACATGCCTGAGCCTTCAGCTGCCACCATCTCACGGAGGATTGCCATGATGACGCCATTGCGCTCGGCCATCTTGTTGTGGGCAACGAGCATGAATAGCACCTAGCCGTGACGTCCGTAGTTTTGAGGATCCTTGTCACACATACATACACATGCAGACTGACGATGCCTCATAATGCCTGAGAGCTGTGTCGACGGTTCACAGTATCCCCCTATATTATCAATATGGCCCTGAAAACATCAAGTCGAACATCGCAAGGTGGTCGCACTCCCTCAAGCGCTTCTCATGTCTCATATGCAGAAGAGTTGCCTTCTGGAGATCGTCCTTCCCCTCATTGATCAGCTCCAGCAGGAGCTGGTCATAAGGCTGCCTGGCTCAGTTGGCATTTGACTTCACCCTTGGAGCCTCCAAAAATTGAGCTTTCTTCAACCCACCAACAGCTATCAAGCTCAAAGTCATTAGCATCATACAGACTGAAGCTGCCAGGTCACTTCTTCTCGATGGAGGCTGCAAAAGGCCGTTCATTGGACAAATACTTCTCCAAGACCCCGCGCACCGTCTCAGCTGCCACCTCGTTGTTGGCAAAGCTCGCAAACATCTTCCTGGGAGCCACTGCCCGCAGGCCCCAGAGAAGGTCGTGCTGAGGTAGGTGCCCCACTCCAGTGGGTTTGTAGGTGTGTTTCTTAATATGTGCAAGTGGATTCAAGTGGTTTTTCCGAAAGATGCAAATATTGTCAGATTAGGGCTTTCATGGGCTTTCAAAGCTTACTGCATCTTACTGTACCACGTCACACTGCCTGGACATGATGTGAACTGACAGCTATATAAATGGTGAAGGTCATCTACAGTCGCAAATTATATTCTATCTCAACTGCTGCAAAAAGAACCTAAAGCCCTAAGCATCCCTAAGCCCTGACTCGCTTGATTTACTTCGGTTCTAACCCCGTTGAAGACCTCCAAGAGGGCCCACCCTCAGCTGCTCGTCGAGCATCTGAACCACCAGCGGACCCTTAGCATCAATGCTGTAGCCGTCCAGCAGCGCCAAAAGCTCCTCACGAGGCTCCAAGTCTTCTGCCTCCTCAAGGCCGGGGCCCTGCCAATGACCTTCAAAGGGCAGGATCTTCTTCACCTCCGGGTTCGGCGGCTGGCATTAGCGGCCTCTACGTTGGGAGACACATCTGTTCCACGTTGGGAGCCTCAAAACGGTTCCCTTGCTCTTTTGGATGACGTGATATGCCGATAGGTGCGCCAATTCTAAAGGGCTATGACCAACGCCCCTTGGCAGCTTTGGCGTCTTCTTGTAGATGTAGCCGTAACCCGCCTGGTCAGGTTCCTTTTGGGGGGTTGACCCTGGAAGTTCCAATGTCCCGTATGATAACCTGAGAACGAGTAGAAGGCTGTCTCGTGTAAAGCTATATAGATTCCCCAACACCCAGGGGTCAAGTCTTGCTGTGCTGAACTCTGGCTGGACCGCAGCGATGTTTGGGTTTGCTGTTTTCTATTGTGCATGTTGCATGGGGCCTAGGCACGTGTAGCACTGTAGCACGCGCAGCACTGTGTGACTCCGTCGCCAAATAACGAGGAAAAAAGCACATCATCCCTCAGGCTTGATCACCGCCATCACGTCCCAAATCAATCGCGAGACGTTTGGCAAGCTTTGGCCCTTGCAGCCTTGTAAACTCAGAGACTTTCGGAGAACTCCTTACTTGCCGGCCGAGCCATCCCAGCCTTGGAAGGGTCCTTCAACTCGAGCTTTGCCAGCAGCTCCCCCGCTGACACGATGCTGCCCGCCGACAGCGCATGGCTCACACGGCCAGCCTGACAAAATCTGGTGACCGGCAAAGCCTGCAAAGGGGAATAGGCATTCTAGAAAAGTACACGTGAACTAGGGAACGGATCTTGGTTTTCAGGACTGGCTAGCATCTGGCATTTCAGACTGCTATAGCTGCTAGATTCGCTAGATTCTAATTCTAGTAGGCTGTGTTTGTCAAACCTTGAGCATCAAGTAGAACGGCAAGTAAGCACGCTTTATCCACCCTGCAGCCTCAGGAGACTTCAAAGCCATGATCATCTTCATGGCCTCCAATTCCTCATCCAAGTGGATCAGCCAGCCGAAACCAAGCGACAGAATCTTTGAACAGCTGGAGTGGGGGTGGGAAGACTATAACAACTACAACCAAAGGACTTAATCAATCATTCATCATTGGTGTCCGCTCTGAACTCCAAGGCGCCACATATGCCTCGCCCTTGGCAATCTCAGTGCCCTCATCGTGCAAGTAGCGGACCACCTTCCCATTCACATCCGAGCGCAACTCGGAAGGATCATAGACGTTGGGGACCATGATGGTCTGGCCACCGATCACCAAACGAAGACCCAAGGCCTTGCAACTTGCTCTCAAGCATTCTCATGTCAGTCCATCGGCTGAGACAAACAGGACAATTCTCTGGATCAACTGAGCGAAATCCGGCCTCTTCTTGCCCCTTGACCTGCTGGCTTTGGCGGCCCACCCGAACCTCAAGAGCAGGCAAGCCCTGACATGGCCTCTCTCGCACAAGGTGTAGCTCCGAGACTTTAAGCCAACCCTTGCTTTGCAAAGCCAATGCTTTAGGACCGAGATGCATATAATGAGCCATCCGGCTGCTCCCTTACCTTGGCCTTGATGGTCTGGTCATTGATGCTGAAGCAATAAATGTCGGCCCGCCTCCTGCCAAATAACAAGTTGTTCTTGCTGCTTTCTTGCATCTTCCTTTGAGGAGTTCCACCTGAATGTGAGGCAACCAACTTCAGGGTGTCAAAACACCCTAGGCCCCACACTCCTGGACACAGAGAAAGAAAACTTCTTCTCATCATAGGTGACATCAATGTGGAAGGAGGTGAGGGCATCTGTGTCCTTTGGATGCAACACAGAGCTCTCCAAACGGTGCTGTGCGTCTGATGTACTTCACACAACACCAAGAACAGAAACCAATTTTCCAACGACATCCTGACGCCGAGGGCTTGCCAGTTCGGTGCTTCCAAAAAATACACTAACACGTGGGTAGACAGCAAATGCAAACTTTCACCCTCAATATGATTCATGGCAGCGTTCCGGTCTTATCTTATATAAGCTTGGTAACCTTGGCCATTCCAGCTCACGACAACAGGCCCACCAAGTGTCACTCTTCCCCAGCAGCACCAACTGACCCTTCTGCATAGAATGGATGGCTTCCAACGTGCGGCTCTTCACTGTCTCAAATGCTCGGAATACAGCAGCATAGAAGACCACCTGGCCATTAACATAACGACGTGACATAACTCTGCAAGGTAATTTATATATGTTTTAATGACCAATTTTGACTATTGATCAACCTGCTGATTGACCAACCCCCTATAGCCCATAGGGATAATGAACATCTCAATATGTGCAGGTAAGTGCTCATTGGTCAACAGTCAACCTTATTGTAATTTAGCTGCAACATACTGATACTTCTCGCAGGCAAACATCTTCTTGCTGTGTTCTCGGAGCTGCAAGACATGGTACTGCTGGATGCTACATCCCGAACGCGAATTCCATGGGGAGGCGAAAAAAACATTCTTCCGGCAAATCATTGAAAAGCAAATAGTGCAACAGGTTCCATAATGTTCCATACAGCCTTCAGTACTTACACGCCCTTTTCCCGCCTCCATCGCCCCCAGGCTAGGGGCAATGGCCTTGCTGGCAATCAGGCCATCCAGCCACATGGTGTCGATGGTGTTCTCCCGGTATTCCTGGAGTCAGGCGCCCAGGCAGCCAAGAGCCTTGAGAAACGTGAACAAAAATCCGAATGTTTTGATTGAGCCTTTGATCTTGGCTCGACAGACATTCCAGTCCTTGGTCTCAATGAGATCCACCAAATAATCGACTGGGTGTCGGATCTCACCGCTGATGTCCAGGTTCATCAATGCGAAACGCAAGCTCTTCCTGGCTGCCTCCCGGTTGGGACCCTTGGCGAAGATGTGCCCAAACCTGTCAAGATGCCGTCCGACACTGCATGAAGCCACTATTCAAAGCACGATGTTCATCCTAGTCCGTCTTCCAGAGTGCTGCGCAAAGCTTAAATGACATGGTCAAAGTAAGAATATATATATATATATATATGTGTGATAAGAAAAAAAGGCACATCAACTCAAACCGAAACGGCTAAGGCAGCTAAGGATAGCAAAGGAGCTGGGAGTCCGCAAATTCATGGATGCCACCCTTTAAGCCAACACTGAAATATCCCCAACAGTCGCCTCATTCCAACCGGGCCAAACTCAAGGCCATAAAAGACGACTCCACCGACTACAAACATTTGAGGAATCATTTCTGTAAGAAACAACACGGTCATTGATAGAAAAAAAAGCAAAGACATGCTTAAGATTCAAGCAGGCAACACTGATGGAAAACACATCTGAAAAGCAAAGGATAAATATGATAAACAAAAAACAAAACATGTTTGAAACAAGAACATACAAAACACAAAAACTTGTTCGTGTGATGGCTCTGGGCGGCCCGAGGACTGAAACCTCACACTGTTGATCTTTCCACTTGTGGGCTTGAAGCCCTCATCGGGGTTCTCGGCGGTGATCCGGCTGGCGCAGCAGTGGGAGGTGATGGGTGGATAGTCCACGGCGAAGAAATCAATCGGAGAGTTTTGGGTCGGGTCCATGCCATAAAACCTCGGATGAGAGGCAGGATATGTCCAAAACACATGATCACATGGTCAAGACTTGTTTTGTCAACACATGCTCGACATATTAGAGTCTAGTGTATAGTATGGCTCTTGGGTATGGGATACAGAAACGATTGAAACCATCTAAACAGTGTGCCAAACCTCCGAATGTCCGGGATGTTGTACAGGGGCAAGCCCATGGCGATCTGAAGCTGCGTGGCAGGCATGTTCACGCCAGTGATGGACTCGGTGACTGGATGTTCCACTTGAAGACGGGGGTTCAACTCCAAGAAGCAAAAGGTATGCGTCTCCGGACCTTGCTGTGACTCTGCAACTCTCTGCAACTTCAGGTGGTTCAGTGTCGAATGGGTTGATGTGGATGTGTGTAATTATTCATTTGGACGTGCGTGATTAAATAGTGTGATCAGCAAGGGTTGATGAACGTTCGCCAAAATAATGCCATCTGCTTTGGAGGAACTAAAGCAATTCACATCATGGCCTCACCGCAAGAACTCTGGATAGTCCAAATGACCGAAAGAGCTGTAGTATGTGATTGAGTGCTGTCAACTGCCTTGATAAGAATGTATGTATAAGGATCCAATCTGGAGGCCGGGGTCTTGCTCGTGATTCTCTAGATATACAATCGAGAGACAGGCTGCCTATTATATGAACAAGCAAACACACAAGCAACAACAAGAAACTGACTAGTATTACTTAAAAGTTAAACATACATAAAAATAAGTATTATATATAGAAAATAAGTGTTTCTTTTCTTTTTTAAATATGTGACCCAAAGTTGAGCCCACAGTGGCAGAAAAAGAATTAAGGACATTGATAAGGTCAGTTTGTTTAGTTTGACATTGATCAATGACTTGAAGATCCACACTCTGATGGATAAGGGTTTGGTGCAAGCGCATTGCGAGTCCAAAGGACTGTAGAGATATTCCACCGTCCCAGCTCCCCTGTAGCCCACCAAGGCCGTCAAACGCATGGCCGCGCGCTCCATCTCATGAAAGACCTCTTTCTTGGCAATGGTCGGTGGGCCTTGAATCGTAGCGTTGAGGCTGAAGCAAAACGAACTGAAAGGCTGAAGCAGGCTGAAGCATTTGATGCGGTCCATCCAACAATTACAACGTCAATTTGATGGATGGCTCAGTGTGATGAATGAAGCTCATACTGGCATCCTTATACAGTATATCCTTAGTGTATCAAACAAAGGCCGGCGGCCTGAACGTACCAACACTCCAGGTTTATCTGTCACAGGGAGCCAAAAAACAGCTACACTCCCCGATAAAATCATGGAAGTGGAAACTGTTTGTGGAGGAAAATGGTCTCCACGGGGCTATGTCATATGTTTCACATGTTTCACTTCCATGATTATTTCAGGGAGCGTACACAGAGAAAACCACCATCAACAAGCAGTGCAGGCCGAACCTTCTTCGAAGATCTTCTGGAACCTCCTCTGAGTTGAGCAGTCGCGGCCGTTCAACGCCAGGGTGTTCCCATACTCGTCTCCCAGGATTTGAATCTCCAAGTGTCTCGCCTTGAGGTGGCTTGGTGGGTAGGCTGGTAGGCCCATATTGACACTATACGGAAGTGGAATGTGAGGAGAGGAAGACCAAGAGAAGTTCAATCATCCTTGGAGCGCTCGACACTCCTCCGGTCCGACTTCACGGCCCACCACAACTGTTTGGTGCTTTAGACAACGCCAAACTTGGTACACGCCCTCGGCCCACTAACCACCACGCATCCAACTACCAACAAGCCAAAAAAACTCAGAGAAAATGATACATTAAACTAGAGGACTTCTATTATTTGGGGTTGCAGTGCCTTGGAGACCATCCGCATGAGGAAGATGGGCGACCCAGGTACCTCGGTGAAAACGTTGGTGTAGGCCACTTTGAGCTCCTTGTGGCTAAACCAGGCAATTCGGGGTAAATGTTTTTCGGCTGCAACTCAAAAGGCTTTGGGCTTGAAGGTGGCAACAAGAATGAGGTCTTGAGCAGTTAGCAAATTGGAGCTGGAACCTGGTGTCTTCTAGCAGCTGGAACCATCTTCCACCTCTCGAGATCAACATCGGCTTGGAGCCACTCTTCTCAGTCCTCCATGTTGGTGGCCTTCCGGATGCCTTTCCCTCCGCCTCCCTCAGAAGCTTTCACCATAATGGGAAAGCCGATCTTCGTTGCACGCTCACAGGCCTCCTCAGCGCTGGTCACCATAGCCTTGTTGAAGATTTCCTGGTGGCATCCAAAAGCTGAAACTGCCATGCCATGCTTTACTTACCCTATAGTAGATCCTATAGTTGGCTCATCTCGTCCATTACTGATTACATATGATGATATAATGTCTGTAAACGAAAACCATCTGCCCCAAACGGCCCCAAACACCCTGCCTCAGGGATCGTGCCTTCTTCGGTGAGTTGACACGTGAGCCCATCTCCACTCCACGGGATGCTGGGCACAGAAGCCGTTTGTGCCAAGATGTTGGCAGCGATCTTGTCGCCCAGGGCGGCCATGACACCTCCGGAGCACGAGGGTTGGGAAGGTCACGGTCCAATCCCAGGAAATGCAAGGGAGCAAGTGAAAAGTGTGAAATGTATGTATCATCGAAGGTTTCTTTTTTTAAATGGTGAGCCTTTCTCTTATTAGGTTAACGCCAAGGGCGGCTGTCCTTTTCGGCGGTCTTTGGCCATCCGAACGTCGCATGACGGAGACGATGGTTGCTTTTGCCTGAAGGAGGGCCAATGAAGGTGATCCCAATCTCCTTCAACTTCGCCGGCAGTTTGGGGTTCTCACTGGCATGCCCCCAACCAGGCCAAACAGCGTCCACCTGCAGCTTGGAGTGCGTGAAACATGGCCGCGTGTCGACGCAGCAAGCCCAAATGGGATGGAATACGGTACAAAGAGTTTTCGCCAAACCATTCCAAACCTACTTCCAAACCTTCAACTCTTCCACAAACAGTGTGGTCACTCTAAGGGTTCTTACGGTAGTAGTCAAGGCCAGTGCGTGATCGAGATGCTCCACTAGCGTGCGCGGCTATTTCGCTGCTATCTACGGTGCTTGCGTCGCATGTCCACTCCGCAAGCTCCCAAAACTTGGTGGGCTGGAGCGGGTGCTTTCCTCCACTGCGCTCTCATTGTGGTGCCATGCGCATTTTCGGACATGGTGGTCACTTTTCGTGGAAAACGCAAGATAGTAGCGTCCTGGTTTCTAATAGCAAACATTGTTACCACTAGTAAGGCACTTGTTACTAGAAGCGATGCACTTGTTACTACTAGCGTCCTTGTTTCCAAGAGGAACTTCGTGCTTTGGTGGTCCCGAGCCGACTTTTCGTAGCAGGTGCATTTTGGACATGGTGGTCTTCGGCGTGCTTCGGTTTCGTGGCGGGTGCAGTGAATCGCGACCTTTGGACATGTGGCTCGTTTTCGGAAAACGGAAGTCTTGAGCGAAAGCCGCGTTTTGGAATTTGATGATTAGGAAGTGCTCTTGCTGCATTAAGTGCGTCAACGCCTTGGCAAGGCTGCAGATTTCGTGGCAGGCGAAGCATTTGTGAGCCTTGAAGTGCAGCTTTTGCGGCAAACGAAGCATTTTGTGAAACTCAAAGATCTCAAAGATTTTGTGGAAGGTGCAGCGACGTGCAGATTTCGTGGCACGCGAAAGATTTTGCGAACATCGAAATGAATATTTACTTGAAGATTGCGTTGAAGGCGCAGCAAGCCTTGAAGTGCAAATTGCGTGGAAGGCGCAGCAAAATGTGCTCCGATATACTATAACGTACGACTCTAGACCTAGACGTTGAGAACTCAGACATCTAAATCTCTACGCCTCTGCCTCAACCTCGGCCTGCATCGCTAGACCTCCAGACCTATCACACTCTAGACCTCGACACCTTGATACAATATATAGCTTCTAGAGCTCTGGCTCAAGAGCTGCAAGGCCTCTAGACCAAGAGTTCTTGGATCTCAAGACCTCTAAACCCCTAGATCTCTACTAGACCTAAACACCTAGAGACCTCCGCTTTTGAAGAAATCAAGAGCTCTCTCTAGATCTTCGGACCTAGACCTCTATATAGATCTGTCTGGATGTGAATCCGGTTGCAATATGTTGTAAGAACAAATATCACCACTTTGACACTTAGGTTCCCATAAAGATATGTCATCTCTGTTTCCATTGGGTTCCCCATTGCTTCCTGTTCTTTCTTATTGTTAGTCCATCTTTGGCACTGGGACTCTGAGCTGACACCTTTAAACCAAACTACTGTATATGCAACACATACAGTAAACCAAGAGGGTAGTCCACAGGCACACTGGAATTAATGAATTTCAAGGGCTTCATGATAGCATATGAAAAAAACAACATGCAAAAAACACCCAACACAATAAGCTACACTCGACTCCATGAACGTGGTTTGGGCGGCCTCACTCTCTATTAGGCCCTACCCCAGTTGCTACTGTAGGGGGTGGAGGGCTGGGGGGAGTTGACATGTCTGACAAATTAAAGCCCAACACCAGCCTCAGTATATGGAGGCTTTCAAAACAAGTGATTGCCACATGGCACGCGGAACTGAATAACGCAAAATGACCAGGACCCAACCCCCATCAAAATCGGCGCCTGCTGTTCTTGCGCAATGCGGCAAATGAGGTCAACATTGGCGTAGTTGTTGACATTCTTGCCAGAAGGAACCTCAACGAAGGAATCGGCAAGGCGAATGAACTCTGCGTTTGCGTTCAGGTCATCTTGGGTTGCCATCGCAACAAATGTAATGAGCTGCTCTGAGCCAAACTCGGTGAAGGTCCATCTCCTCATAGATAGAATCGCCTTCACTGCTGCCATGCCATTGTTGGAGATGAGGATTTTGCGAATCACGCGCTGCCCCCCTCGCTGCTTCACATAGCTCGCCAATGGATCGAGATTCATGGCCATGATGCCGCGAATCCGCGCAAAAAAAGTATCTTGTTGGATCAAGTGATCAAATGAAGATGGTGCTTGGGCCAAAAGGAAGGAGGGGTTGCACTTTCATGGTCCCAGCGCAGTATGTCAATGTCGAAGTGGAGTGCATGTGCCAAGCTCATCCAAGCTCCAAGGTGAGTTGCACCCCGAAAAGCTGCGACGTACTTTTCACGCCGAGCTGCCGTCCCAGCCAAGGAAGTCTTCAGGTGGTGATGGTCAGAAACTGCAGGCGCAAAAGCTGTTCGACGGACATTCCGGATTTTCTGGCTGATGACAGCAACCGAAACATGAACACCTTTCTTGGACCAGCAGGTAGGCTGAGAAACTAGACTCTGTACGCCACAAAGATCACCCTCCTGTGACAAGGCGCTAAATAGAAGATTGTCCTGCATCATCTTTGGCTTCCATAGCCCACCTCCAGAATAGAGGGTAGTTGCAATGTACGGATGTGCCCGGGAGAAACTGTCTCAAACCCACAGGTTTTTGCGGCACACCGGCAGCATTGAAAGCCTCATGTCATGTACGCTTTCATGATTGGTTCCCGCCTGTCAGTGCTAATGGTCGTCGTAGCAGGTCACCGCGCGAACCGAGCTATTTCTGGCTGTGACTACCTAACTCTCGTTACAACCATTACATCAGGAGCTCATTCACAAGAAATTGTTTCACTTGGAGCAGCACATACACACGCATACCGTCTATTTACCCACTATATACCAACCACGCGTGGTGTAAGAACGCGGCTGATTGGACCGGGAGCTGGCGATACAAGCTTCTCCACATGACATGATTGCTTGCAATGACCCCTGCGTTTTGAGCCAAAAATCAGAAGGAGCTCACCCTGATCCCTACGCCCAGCTGACAATCCTTCCTCTTCATGTCACTCGAAACAGGTGGACCAAGTGACGCACTGTAGCAGTAACGTCTGTCTGTGCTGACAACGAGGCCTTTTCGCCAATCTCTTCTTTGTGGTCCGACTGCTCAGTCAACAGAAGTCCTATTAATTGCTCAGGGCCTCACAAATTGCTGGAATGATCTCAACTCAGCATTCTCCAGTGCAAGTAGCACCTAAAGAAAGCTCGCCTTAGAATCCGAGTGAGAAGCTGGCAACCCTCGTTTCGGCGTACTTGATAGGACGCGGGAATGCCTTCCATCAAACCACAAACGTTCTTCAACCGTTCCCGGCATTAAAGTCAATTGAGAACCAGGAACAGCTGGTCACTTCATGTCATGGCACCAGGGTCAACCACTCACGAGCACCAATAGTCTTTCAATAAATGGTCATCTCATTGGCCCATCCTCTCTGGGGACCCAGCTGCAGCAGCACGCCGTGGCAACACTTGCGGTGGCGGCAGGAACGCAGGAAGCAGCGGCATAGACTGCGTCAAGATCTTCCTGAGCATAGTGAGGCAGTGAGGCCTTCTTGGTCAATCCAAGTGCCAAGCTTGAGATACATTGAACACCTTGAGCACTGAACAACGGTGCTCCAGGTGTTCCACTACCTACCAGTCTCATGGAAGTTTGTGAAAGGACACAGTGCCTCCGCTCCATAAAGTTCTGCCTTTGCCAGTAGTGTCATCGAGAGAGTCTACTAGACGACCCTTGCGTGCGCCAAAGCCACTCAAGGTCTATATCTCGCATCCATGTGGGTCACAGTCCCTTGACCGGCGTTTGGGTCGAGGATCTCGTGCTGCTTGGCAAAGTCCACCAAGGATGAAGAGCTGCGATTGCCCTCATAGTCCGCAAGCTCCTTGCCATCTTTGAACATCCTCAGGAATAGCGTGTGGGCCCACAAAATGTATTTGGAATCTTCTGATTGCTCCAAAAGTATGTGGGAACTTTATGCGGGCAAGGCAGGATCACCCACAACAAGCATCGAGGTAATGCAATTTGATAGCTCACTTAGCATCTACCAGCCATTTGCAACATATAGGGGTAGGCCCTGATCAATGCGTGACCGAATATATCAGCTTAATCATTATGTCAGCTTGCTTAAAAATTGCTACGACTCAGTAGACACTCTTCAGTTCCCAAATGTGAAACATTTGCCATTGATGCTGTATCTTGAACGTGGGTTTGGAATCTTTGCATGCGAGGCCCTCTCATGTGGAGCAACCAAGCAAGCAAATTTAAAGGCAACACTTATAAATATACAGTATATATGATACCATGAAATACCAATATGAGCATGCTTCAGCAGAATGATCAAACACACTGCCTTCCTAAGTCCAAATGAAATGCAATAAAGCTGCTTGATGGTGGGAAAGCCACGGATGTCCTTCAAAAATGAGTATGCGTATTGACATGCACGTTCAAATCATATCAAGATGACCACCGGGAATACCCTTGAGCCTACCAACTGCTCTGGACCAAAACAGAGGCGCGCTGATGGTCGTACTGGAAAATCTGGCTTTAGCAACACATGTCACATGTTTGACTGAATAATTAATTTAAAGGAGATTGACAGGAATGCCGCAACAGCCGTTGGCCCCCTTGCCTTGCAAAGCTCAGCGTTCTCCGGAACGGGATTCCAGTTCTTATCATGGCACTCAATCTGACCTAAGCGCTTCTGAAAGACCTCTCAGGCAAAACAACTCCAAGAACTCTAGACTCTAGAATTGGCCAACGTTTAGCTATGTGATGCTATGTGGTTATGTTTAGTGTGGCCATGTGTGGCCTCATCATATTCCACCGGTACTGTCCAAAGCTTCGATTCAACTTGCTCATCTTCCGCGTCCGGGCCGCGGAATGTAACGGGGCCGATGTAGGCCTTCTGGGCGGCCTTCCAAGCTGGTGCCATCGCCTGGAGCCATCTTCGTCCGGTGACCCTATGAGAACCAGCCCCACACAATGCCAAGAGGAAACTCCATGGATTTGTCATCTTCTTACAGATGTCTTCTGGAATCTCGACGTTCAGCCGTTAGCCGCCGTTAGCCCATCAGCATCCCTGAACATCAAAGACAGCTCGTTGAGCCTGGCAGTGGCCACATGCTGCTGCGTAGTATTCACGCAGCTCCATTCCCTGAGCTCGCTGCTGGCTGCGTTTACTTTGGTGCCATGTCCTGTCGCCCTGAACCCCGCAAGTATAGTGGGTTGGTGAACAAAAGCACTTCATCCTCCATCACCCAACCAAGACATGCCAAGAGACACTCCTTTTGAAACTAAAGCCTTCCTCCCTCAGCGGAAAGTCATGGGAGTTTCGTGAAACCGATCAGCAGAGGACCGACTAAGCGCTCAGATGGGCTTCTCGCCAAAGAGAAGTGTGTCACGGGGGCGGCGGGTGCATGAAGTAGTACTTTTGTGGCGGGTCCAAGTCAAGACCTGCACCAGTGTAAGGCACGGACCTTGTGTATGCTGGATGCTGTGCTTCAAGATCGAAGTCCGTGTCAGGACTTGCCATGTTGGCATAGAGCTCCCAACTCATCTTTGTCTCACCTTGTTCAGGGCCAAATGCAACATGTGGAATCATGTAATGCAAAGCACTGCAGTTAGTAGGTCAAAGAAATGGTAGTTACAGTTGCAGTTACACATAAACAAGTATGTATTTATTTCTATAGACTATATTATATATATAACTAAAAATGCCTAGTAGGTAATTACAAGTCAGCATTGTCCAGGTGCTGTTGCTATTTCTGCCTCAAATGTGTCCCAAAAATCATAAAGAGCTTCAACAGATTTCTGATCCCTGCCTGACTTCCCCTTCCTTCCGCGTGCCATTCCTCTTTTGGCTGGAGTCATCATGCAAACTGCAACCGTGAGTAGTAGAGCTGTACCGATGCTTGCCCCAAGAATCACATACATCGTGCTGTCAGACTGACCTACTGACACTTTCTCCGTATCAATCGTTCCCACCTTGGCGCTCACACTATCCGTGAGGATGGTCTCACAGGACTTGGGCCCACTCATGGCCGTTGCATCCGCCTCCTTCGCATCCACCTGTGGCAGAATCCAACATCCACCGCTCCCACTCACTGGAGGTTTCTTGAATGTAAAGCCCTTGCAAAGTGGATCCTGCTGGCACTTCTCTTGGCATGCTGACCAATCTGCCAGGACCAAGGTCGGCTGCGCTTGTAGCAACCGATGCTTATAGGCCGTGCCCTCCTCGACGCACGAGGAGCTGGCGAGCACGTAGAATGCACAAACCACGGTGGCACGTAGTGGCCACCACATCGCAAATTTATTAACACTGTAAGTACTGTACTTGTTTGCAGGGAGAACTCCCCTGAGCAAATTGGCCGCACACATGCAGAATCCACAGCAAAGGACTAATTTTTGTCTGTGAACTTTGCACCTGCATGCTACGCCATCAAATCCACTCTCTCCCACTCACAGACTCCCTGTTGTTGTTTTTTTTCTCTCTCTTCTCTCTCTCTCTCTCTTATCAGGTTGGAGGCCATCGCTAGTAGCTGGGAGGCCATCTCTATTAGGCTCTCTCTCTCTCTCTTTCTTGTACCTGCAGAATTTTGGTGTTCTTAGTGTTCTTCCTTACCACATGAGGTGCCTGGTCAGCAAAGACCGTTGCCAGCTTTCCAAGGCCCATGGCACCTGGAAGGCCGCGAAGCTATTGATTTCCAGAGCTATCTCTGCGTGGCAAGGGCCCCCAAGGGCCATTTATTTGCAAATACGGGTTCAGTCATTTCCGATGACATGTTTTCATGATCCAAACCTGTTTCGTTCTTGTGACCAAAAGCTCTTGGACATCTTGAGAATCCAATCACGTGGCCATTCATGGTTCCATTGAAAAATTGTCTGTGATCAGTTGTCAACAGGAAGCCTTGTTGTTCAAAATCAGAGGTATGAATGAGGCCAGGTGCTAGCTGACTGGAAACATCCTGTGAGCGGCGCTCACAGGCAGGCACAAGGCTCCGAGACACCGAGTGAGTGCTCGACGCGATCCTGCACTGCCTGAGATACACCCTTTCTGTGAGCCAGATTTTTCTCCCTCATATCAATGATATTCGTGACTTGGGCACTTAATAAGTGCCGAAAAGTCTAACCAGGAGCCGTGATGCTTTGCAATCATGTCGTCCACATCAAAAACCTTTCACCCCCGTCACACCTCACGTGCGTCCGTCTTTATTTGATTTTATTTGCGCCTGGTCCGTCACCCAACGAATGTGGCGTCAGCTGTGAACAGAACCGGAACAGCTGCGGAGTCCGTCGGAGTCTCCGCCCGGGCCCCGAGTCTGTCATGTCATAGTCGGGGTCCCTCCGAAGTGATTGGTGGAATCAGTTCTCCAATTATGCTTTGTGACCCAGCAGGTTGGCCGTGAAATGAGTGAAATTACAAAATATGCTCTAAAAGGAGTTGGCACAAAATGCAGTGCAGTACAGAAAGAAACACAAGGACACAACTGCTGAATTTGAATAAAATTCGCAAGCGGGCCACCAACGCCAAACGAGGGGCACTCAAAGAGGCAAACACCTGTGGGCATGGCCGAGTGCTCCAATTGTTTGTCTGAAGGTATGTACGCTTTACAACTCGTTTTACATTATATAAGTATCTGCGAACTGCTGCTTCGTTCATCAAGTTGCATTGAACATAATGGTTGTGCGTTTCACCCTCACCCTCCCCTCGGGGATCCATGGATCTAATTTGTTGATGGAATAATGGAGGGACTGTGCATGCCTGGTGCTTCGCACAATTAAAGAAGAAAGAACCAGCCTTTCGCAAGCTGCCTGTCGTGACTTAGACATAACATGTCACAACGGCTCCTCGGATGCCTATATGATCGAAAGCCGAAAGCTTCCATGGCAAGGCTCTCCAAAGTGGAGAGGTTCTAGCATATACCAACAAAAGCAAGCATCTCGTGCACCCAATGAATCTGGCAGGTTGCGAACTGGATTGAGCAAACACAATTAAAGATTGTGTTGCAAGTTTGCAAGACCCAGTCTCCAGTCTGTGCCTTCAGTGAGCTGCTGCCACTTCTCGATCAAGTATTTGCTCCTGGGGTTCAGCTGGCTGGGCAGCACCGGGCCCAGGGCCCCACCGAGTCACACGGTCGACGTCGAAACACAAATGGAGCAAGGAGAATCTCTTCAGTTCTCAGGACATGAGATTGCCAGCTCCCAGGGGCTTTCCGACCTAATATAGGACACATTGACATAGCAAGGGTGCTCCCTGCAAACCCTAGAACCTAGGGGTCAGGAAGCATGTCGAACGTAGACCACAGCTGTTTGAGTGATGTACTGATATACTGCGCCCACTCCATACCCGAACGTATTCATCGGATCCTGTCAATGTCTGTCATGAGTCGATCCGACATCTGATAAACATCACACCTTCAGCCACCAGCTTACACCAAAGCAAACAATCATGCTGCAAGGGCCATGTCTGAGCGTCCGCAGCTTATTGGCCGAGTCTCTGTAGTTCATCTTTGCTCCAACCAATGACCTGGAAATTCCAAGGAGGCAACTTGCTGGGACAGTGCAATCTGATCTGGGAGGTTGACCTGTCAACATATAATATATGTACATACTTTCTTTACATACATACATACATATGTATGCATGCATGTAACTATACACAATATCATAGTAAAGTGAAAAGCGATTCACCACACCTCATCGGCTTCTCATGAAAGCAACATACAAATGACACAAAGTACACATGGGCCCCTTGTGCTGCACTTCTGGGGCGGTAGGGTTGCATTGGCTCATGGAACAGCATCCCAAATCCTGGCAGGATGCCATGCAATCGTTCCGCAAAGTGATGTAATGTTAGATTAGTATTAGGCAGGGGAGACGTATTTAAGGTATAAAAAGGTTCCAGAAAAATCCAGATCTGATTTGATTTAGTATTCGACTAAAATGATCCGTAATTAACACTTCAGGATAAATAAATAAAAAAAGGAACGCCTACCACCACTACTAGTAGTACTACTACTAGTGGTACAAATGACTACGACTACTACTACTACTAAATACTAGTAATTGCTAATTACTACTAGTACTACTACGAGTACTACTACAAGTACTACGACTAGTGCGACTACTACTACTACTACTACTACCATCTACTACCTACTACCTACTACTACTACTACTACGACTACGACTACGACTACGACGACTACTACTACTACTACCATTACTAGTACAACAACAACTACTACAACTGCTACTGCTACAGCTACTGCTACTACTACTACTACTACCTACTACCTACTACCTACTACCTACTACTACTACCTACTACCTACTACCTACTACTACTACCTACTGCCTACTACCTACTACTACTACCTACTACTACTACCTACTACTACTACCTACTACCTACTACCTACTACTACTACCTACTACCTACTACCTCATACAACAACTACTACAACTGCTACTGCTACAGCTCCTGCTACTACTACTACTACTACAACTACTACTACCTACTACCTACTACCTACTACCTACTACTACTACCTACTACCTACTACCTCATACTACTACCTACTACCTACTACTACTACCTTGTACTACTACCTACTACTACTACCTACTACCTACTACCTACCACCTACTACTACTACTAGTACTACTACCTACTACTACTACTACTACTAGTACTAGTACTAGTACTAGTACTAGTACTAGTCCTACTACCTACTACCTACTACCTACTACCTACTACTACTACTACTCCTACTACTACTACCTACCTACCTACCTACCTACCTACCTACTACTACTACCTACTACTACTAATACTACTACTACTACCACTACTACTACTACTACTACCTACTACCTACTACCTACTACTACTACTACTACTACTACTACTACCTACTACCTACTACCTACTACCTACTACCTACTACCTACTACCTACTACCTACTACCTACTACTACTACGACTACTACCTATACCTACTACTACTACCTATACCTACTACTACTACCTATACCTACTACTACTACCTATACCTACTACTACTACCTATACCTACTACTATTACTTACTACTTACTACTTACTACCTACTACTACTACTACTACTACTACTACTACTACTACTACTACTACTTACTACTACTTACTACTACTACTTACTACTACTTACTACTACTTACTACCACTTACTACTACTTACTACTACTTACTACTACTTACTACTACTTACTACTACTTACTACTACTACTACTACTACTGCTACTACTACTACTACCTACTACCTACTACCTACTACCTACTACTAC